CGTTGTTTTTTAAAATATTTTAATGTTTTAAAATATATTTGATTTTTTTAAAAAAAATATTAATTTCTATTTAATTATTAAAAATAGTAATTTAGATATTACATGTCTTAAAAATTAATTTAATGTAAAAAAACACAAGATACTAAGAGTGTGTTTCGCTATAATACAAAATACTAAAATAATTTTACCCCAAAAATAAATAAACGTTTTAAGGATCTTCAAGGGTTTATAAATGGCGGTCAAGAGCAATAACGAAAGTAAAAATTTAATAAAGACAGAAATTTTACAAGAGTTATTGAAATTCAGGGAACAAAAAGCTAAAGTTAAAGTTTGCAGACATTTTGTGACAAGGTTTATAATTTGAGGACAACCGTATAATTTGTTCTTGTTTTTTATACGACATGACATGATATGATTAGTTAGACAATAATTGAAACACTAAAATTGTAACATCCCGAAGAATTAAACGAGATCAATTAAGGTAATTAAGATTTATTAGTGTGCCTAATCTAGTTTAAGTAATTGATTATCATTTATTAAATATTTTTGACGAGTAAATTTAAATAATTTCAAGGTATTTAAATATTCTCAGTAATTATATTTTACCTAGAAGTGTGTGTGGGCACATTTTCTGAACTGTCATTTTAAATGTTTGACACCTGTCTATTTTTCTTTTCTTTTCCTTTTTCTTTTTCTTTCTTTTCCTTTTTTCTTTTTCTTTCTTTCCCTTTTTTCTATTTCTTTCTTTTCCTTTTTTCTTTTTCTTTCTTTTCCTTCCCGAGCAACCTTTCTTTCTCTCTCTCTTCACTCTCGTTCTCACTCTCTCTTCCATTTTGATTCAAACTAACCGGATCTCGAACCAAAGAGAAATTTCAAAGAGTTTCCAACATCAAGAGAAGGATTCGATGTAAGATTTCTGAAAAACCTCTCTTGAATCTCAAGTTTTTTGGATTTAGAAACCCTATTTTGGTTCGGAATGCATTTTGATGGATTTTGAGTAAAACCATGGTAGAAATTGGAGATCTTGGGTTCTTTGGACTTGATTTAGTACTTAGAACCCGGATCTAGTAGTTTTTCTTTGATATATTTCATATTTGGACTCAGATTTGCAGGTTTTGCGTTGATTTTCTTCAGATCGGCCATGTTGGCCATCCTGCCCTGATTCCATCGGTCGACTTATGCGGTCGACCGGTCTGCACTACATCAGGTCGACCTGTGCGGTCGACCGAAGTGCACACCACCGGTCGACCGGTGGTGTTACACTTTTCTGTCACCGGTCGACCGTTGTACACTGGGTTTGACCTTGTTTTGCTGAAAAACCCTGTTTTGACCTCAGTTTTTGAGGAGAACCCAAATTAGCTTCATTTGGGGACCTAGAGTAAATGGATTAGCTTCTTTAATCCATGTTTTGAGATTGAAAACCCTTGGAATGATGATTTGAAACATGAAATGGTTTGTGAAACCAGTAATTGAATTATGGCACACTAATAGGAAATCAAATAGTATAATTGAGATTGAAATTGCTTTAGGAATGTGAATTGGATCCTAAAGCGTGGTTTTGTATCAGTGCTAGTTGAGGACTCGGATTAAGGGACTTGAGGAAGTAAAAGTTAAAATAGTGCAACGCTAGGTAGGTTTGGTATTTGCGAGGTAGGATTTCTTACCCTTTCTTTGTTAGCCTGTTTTCAAAGAGTTTTGGCATTGCAAATGATTTAAAGAAAGGGCATGTTTGCGAAAGAAAAGCATTTCAAAAACAATAGCTTGATTTTAGCTATTGGGATCATAATCAACTGTTTCATAAAATTTAATGAATGATTTCTTAAGCCAAGAGATTTTGTGAATCGGTAAACCGGCTGATGGCATAGATATGATGTGGAGAGTGCATCATTGGGGGCAGAACCCGAAACCTGACCCAGGGATGTTAGGCTTGTGTACGTGGTTGTGTAAGTAATTTATCATAGTATAAATTACTGGCTAATGCCTGTAATATGAAGATTTTTAGTTACATTCCTTTCAGAAAAAAGGATGTGAGATTCCGGCTGTTGTGTTGGAACCGAATGTCTTATTATTCATTTATTTATTTATTCACTTGCTTACTTATTTATTTATTGGTTTATCAAGTTGGACATGAGATTGGAGTTCTTCTTATGAATCCAGATCTAGGGGTGTTTGCGGTCGGTTTGGACAAATTTTTTTTTTTATAGAAAAAACCAACCAAACCAAAAATAATTTTTCATATTTCTAACAAAAACTAAATTGAACCAAATTACTCATAAGCGGTTTAGACGGTTTGGTTTGGCCAGTTTAAGTTTAAGACTAAAAAAGTTTTCAATAATTAATAAAAATTCTAAACATGTTAATTAATAAAAAATAGTAAGATTCAAGCTTACAATATAATTAAAAAATAACAAATATCTAACAGTTCACCATTTAAAGTTTTAATACAAACTAATAAAAAATATAATCGAGTGTATTTTATAAGTGTATAACCTTTATTATGTCCAATAAAAATTAAAATAAATATAAAAAATATTTTTAAAATTAAAAAAATTACATATGTATATTTTTGGGCGGATTATAGAGCAATTTGGGGAGTCTAAATCACAAACCAAATAGTTGAAAAAATTAGATTAAAAACCGGCCAAACCGTCCAATAACTAAAAAATAATTAACGATTTGGTTTGATTGGATTTAGATTAGGCAGTTTTCACGGTTTGATGAATTTTTTGAACACCCCTGTCGAGATTCTCTGTCTAATTTTTAGTGTTTTAATTAGTGTATAACTAATTAAATTACACCACACCATCCCATAATAAATACTAAATAATTAGTTAAAAAACCATTTAATTTTTTTATACGACGTAACATGATAAGCACTAAAGAATCAATTAAAAAATAATTTAATTTTTTTTACGACTTTACATGATATATTATGTTCATTTCGCTGATTCGAGTTTATAATTTGAATTTTATTATAGTAAAAAACTTTCAGAAACAGTTATATTTAATTTTTTTATTACAATAAAAAATATTCACGTGTCAACTCAAATTAAAAATTCGAATCAATAAACTAAACAACCATAATTTGTTAAACATACCAAAATTGTACAAAAAATTTGAGTTCTGTTTCTATTGTTTGGTCGTTTATCTCGCGGCTCTCTCTCTATGAAACACTGGTCAGTGCAAAGCAAAAGCCTTGATTTGCAGAGAGAAGTATCGAGAGACAGAGATGAGCATTCGACCGTTGGATTCACTACCACCAACAGAAACCCTAGAGATAGAGAACGGCCTCTCGCTCGTCCCGCGCGTGAGGCTCGACCTCACGGTCTACCCGGCGAGCCCCTCCGTGACGAAGCCCATCGACGAATGGAAGCTCAAGCGAACCCTAATCGACTTCCTCAAGAACTCGCTCTTCGTTCCCGAGGAGGACCTCCGGATCCGGCGGGTCAAGGACCTCAAGAACCGCAAGCGCGACGATCCTCTCGCGCTCGGCACGCTCTTCATTCGCGACCTGGGCTCCCTCGCGGGGACCAAAGGGGAGAAGAACGACGGAGAGGACGCGAAGAAGGCCTTGGAGGAGTTCTTTGATTGGCGAAGGCGCATTGTCGAGAAAATGGATGGAATTGAGCTCAACATCGAGGGGTTGAAGTTCAGGCTAAAGGCCGCCGTTCCGGCGTCCGATGATTTCGACGGCATGAAGAAGGATTGGGAGGAGTTTTACGCTTTGAGGAATCGAGGTTTGCATAAATTTGATGGCTTTTTTGTGAGATTGAGAGGGAATTTGATTTCGAATTGTTGACATTTTGGTTTACTGTATTGACAGGGTATTCGAAGAGTGGGAGGCACGAGCCTGATACTATAGTGATAAGGGGCGTTCCGTCGCGGTGGTTTGCGGAGCCTCGGGTTTCGTCGAAGCCTTCAATGCTGGTTACTCATACAATCTTTTCAACATTTGGAAGAATAAGGCATGTGTTAGGAACCCGAAAATCTGAGCTTTAGAGCTTTATTAAAAATGGAAAATTATATATGGGCGGTTTTGAGACTTCGACCTCTAAGATAGTGTACAGTATTAGACACTCTCTATAAATATTCTTTTTCCTTTCTCCCCTCTTCTTAGCAACTAAACCCCTTATTTATACTACTATTAAGACCACAGTATTAGACACTCTCTATAAATATCCTTTTTCCTCTCTCCCCTCTTCTTAGCAACTAAACCCCTTATTTATACTACTATTAAGACTATTAAAAAAAATTCTAAATATTAGGTTCCTACCAGCATGTCAATGTCCTTCATTTGCTTTAGTCTCGCTAATGGTTTTTTTTTGGTTTTTGTTTTTTTGCATTCCGTGGTATCTGTAGACTTTTCTTCTGTTAAATTTGTCACCTTCTTGATGACGCTTACATAGGCGGTTCGGGAAACTGCTAGCTTGAGTTTTAGAAGTTTGGATTTGATTCGTAATGTCCAAGATATGACTTTGGAGTTTCGTTTATTTCTGTCTTTTGAAATCTATGACCTGTTTCCCTTTCAAGTTGCTACAAATCATGTCTCTCTCTAATGTTATGGCCTTAGCTAATTATGCATCTTCCTTTTTGCCCCTTTTTAACTCACACTCTATAGGAATCTTAATGTGGCTGAGGACGATTATCTAGGTAAGGATGCCGACGAGGATGGCGCAGACATAATTTCGGGGCTGCACTGTAAGATTGTGGTTCAATTTGAGAAATTCTGGGACTTCTATAATACTCTAAAAGTATTATGTTGCCGGTCATTGCAGAAGGTAGCAAGTTTGTTTTTCTTTAGATATTATACAATTGTTCTAAGTTTAGAAGCTAATTCAAAACTAAAAGGGTTACTTATCTACCGTGCTGATCTAATTACCAAGAACTCACCATGCTTTGTATAAGTTTGTAAGATTTACTTCTTGAAATGCTAGAGATGATGGTTTACTATTTGAATGACATTTTATATTGTTTGACAACTAAAGATCACTTGCCATTGAGCAGCAAGGATCGAGATTGTGGGCCGATTTTGAGGTTACTTGGGACAGGGATGGATTTTTCCGAAATACACCAAGTCAAATTCAGAAAAGAAGTGGGAGAGAAATGGCACCTGCACATTATAGAAGTGAAGCGCCGAGGCGACAACAACACATCTCACGTTTAAGTTCTGATGATATGCCTCGAAAGAGGTTTAAGGTTAGGACCAAGTAACAAAGTATTTGAATAAAACAAATCAGTTTTGCGAGGAGGTTTCTTAAGTTTATGACCTCTTCCAGCATCGATGTACTGTTATCCCAAGAATTGCTACCCAAGAGGGGGTGGGGTGAATTGGGTTTTTAAAAACTTTTTGAAATCAATCAATAGTTATTGGAAAGTTGGCTCTAATCACAAACAAATAATAAGACTAGATGAACAAGACACAAATGAATAAGTGATTAATCAAGAATATGATATTAACAAAGTCAAGAATAATGATAAAATGTAAAAGCACTCTATAAAGTAAAATTACAAGATACACAATATACCACACAAATAGTAGAAAAGAGATAAAATTAGAGAGAGTGCAAACACTATTTTATACCACACAAATAGTAAATAAAAGAGATTAGGTTAGAGAGAGTGCAAACACTATTTTTAGTGGTTCGGCTATAAGCCTACATCCACTGTTACTGAGCAAATCACGACACTTTCTCTTCTACTATCTAGATCGGCTTTTGGCTCGATCACCCCAAGTATAAAATGGTGAATTTGTTTCCCAAGGTTCACTACACCTATTACAACTGTCAAGCTTTAACAAAAGATGTTGGCCTATCCTATCTCACCAAATTTACAAAAGAGGTTGGCAACCTAAAACTTTTGTGGAATAATGAAATTTGAGAGCTTGATCACTCAAGTAAATCTCTCTCAATTTTATTTTATTACAAGTAAGGTACTAGGAGATGTTTTCACAACAAAGCACAAAATTGTCTCAAGTTTTGCTCAAAGAGTGTATTGTTAGCTCAATATGAAAGAAATCAATGCAATCTTAGTTCAAGGATGTTTGGATACTATTTTGGAGCTGTTAGAAATGTTCAACAACCATTTTGGATACTATTTCACATTTCTTGGTACTTAAAGGGTTTTCTCTTGTTCAAAATGGTTATTGAACATTTTAGAGCTCCTTATAGTATCCAATCACCCTTGAACTAAAATTGCATTATTTCTTTCATATTGAGCTTTCAACGACTCTTTGAGCCAAACTTAGACAATTTCTTGTTTTGTTGTGAAAACATCTCCTATCACCTTACTTGCAATCAAACAAAGTTGAGTGAGATTTTCTTAAGTAACTAAGCTTTTAAATTTCATTATTCCACAAAAGTTTTAGGTTGCAAACCCTTTTTATAAATTTGGTGAGAGGATAGGCTAACATTCTTTTTTAAAGCTTGGTAGTTACAATAGGTGTAGTGAACCTTGAGAGACAAATTCATCGTTTTGTACTTGGTGTTGTCAAGCCGAAAGGCGATTGAGATAGTGGAAGAGGTGGGGTTGTGATTTGCTCGGTAACAGTGGATGTAGGCTTATAGCCGAACCACTATAAAATAGTGTTTGCACCCTCTCAACCTTATCTCTTTTATTCACTATTTGTGTGGTATATTGTTTAGCTTGTGATTTTGCTTTATAGTGTACTTTTACATTTTGTCCTTATTCTTGATTTTGTAAATATCATATTCTTGATTAATCACTTATTCATTTGTGCCTTGTCCATTTAGTCTTATTATTTGTTTGTGATTGGAGTCAATTTTCCAATAATTATTGATTGATTTCGAAAAGTTTTAAAAACCCTATTCACCCGTCCTTTCTTGGGTAGCAAATCTTAGGAGAACATGTACCATTGCCATTGGGTTAAATATCAGATTGAATACTTTCATAATGGTTCATGCAATTTCATTCCATCTTTTCGACCTCTTTTTTCTGTTCAATCTTTTCTTTTCTTTCTTTATTCTGTCTCGTCAAATCTAACATTATGCTTTTGATGTAGGAATAGAGAATATCTGAAAAATCTGGAAGATCTTTCAGCACAAGTTCACGAGTAGCTCAGCATGTCACAACCAAGACCTTGGTCTTTTACTCTTTAGATTTGAATATGTACAATTAGCTCATTGCATTGCAGCGTGTAATAGCTGAATGCTTGGCCTGGTATATTTTACGCACAATATCTTCATAATGGTGGTGATTTGATCATTAATCATCTTTATACTTTCCCATTTTTACTTATTTTCTTTTCTCCATAGGCGTCTTGCCATTTTTGTTCTTGCAGGGTAATTCCTATGCATTGACGGCGCTGAACCCAGATTTTAGTGCACAAACGCTCAGATCAAATGCACAATTGAATTTTATCTTGCACTAGCCACCCGTTTCATTGCCGGTTCTCTTCTGAGTTTTTGCATAGCAAAATGTTGAAAACATTATGTTAGGCTCCCGTGTACCTGTAACACCAATCAACACACAACAAACACAAAGAACACCACAACTAGACTATTAAAGGAACCTCAACCAAAGGATCCAATTCATTAATCGTCACTGGAACAGTCATGAGCTCAGCTCGGCCAATAATACAAAATAGTAAGAATAATTCTCTCAACGTGTCCTTTTCTTGCACAATACAATTCCTTAAAAACCCTCAATCCGTTGTAACCTCCCTACTCTCTAGGCACTATTCCCTAGCCTAGCCTAACCGTCTATAAGCCAGCTCAGCAACCTTCACGCACTCACATCCCTTCCCTAATTGAAGACGTTGCGAGCTCCTCTAGAGTACGTCCGTTCATATTTATTCTTCTTAAGCTCAGGTGTAACATTACTCCCCTCCTCAAAAGAGACCTTGTCCTCAAGGTCGAAGGTAGGGAAACGGACTTGCAGCTCTTGGACAACCTCCCAGGTGGTGTCCTCGATGTCCCGTCCTTGCCACTTAACCAGCACTTCCTTAAAGGACTGCCCCCTTGCTTCCTCAGGCGCCCCTACAGCACGCTCTTTGGAAACAGTGGTTCGGGGATGTCCGTCGCGGTGTCGACAACCACCGGTTCCTGTGAAACCGCACGCCTACTCACCACCTTTTTTAGCATAGACACATGAAAAACTAGATGCACCCTGGAACCCTCTCGCAGCCGAAGTCGATATGGCACTGGACCGACCTTGCCGATCACCTCAAATGGGCCATGATATTTTGGGGCCAACTTGTTGTTGGGGCGCCTGGCCACGGAACCCTGCCGATAAGGTTGTAGTTTCAGCCAAGCGAGCTCCCCAACCTAAAACTCTCGCTCCACCCGTCGTTGATCCGCATAGCGCTTCATTCGTTCCTGAGCATGCTCCAAGTTGCAGCGTAACTGTTTCAGTTGCTCATCTCGTTCTGAAAGTTGCATATCCACCGAACCAACTGCGGTTCTGCCCCTTGTGTAGCGTACCAAAGTCGGGGGAGCCCGACCATATAATGCCTGGAAGGGTGTCGTGCGGGTAGCACCGTGAAAATTGGTGTTGTATCAATATTCTACCCAACACAACCACCTGCTCCAATGCCTAGGCTGGCAACTGGTGAAACACCTCAAATACGCCTCCAAACAACGATTAAGAACTTCTGTCTGCCCATCCGTCTGAGGGTGGTATGCCGAACTCATGCGTAAGGTGGTCTGTTGGAGGCGGAATAGCTCTCTCCAAAAAAGGCTAGTGAACACCTTATCCCGATCACTTACTATACTCCGAGGTATGCCGTGAAGGCACACCACCTCTCGACAAAACACCTCTGCCACCAACTTCGCAATAAACAACCACTTGAGAGCAATGAAATGCGCGAATTTGGTTAAGTGGTCCACCACCACGAAAATGACCTCATGCCCATTAGATTTAGGCAGAGCCTCGATAAAATCCATCGAGATGTCCTCCCACACTGCCTCAGGAATGGGCAACGGTTGTAGTAACCTTGTCGGGCTCGTTGACTCCACCTTATTTTGTTGACAACCCCCACACTCGGCCACAAACCGTTGCACATCCCTTGCGATACCCGGCCAATACACATTAGCGCTAATTCGCTTGTAACTCCTTAGAGCCCCCGCATGTCCCCCCGTTGGAGTTGAGTGGAATTCCTTCAACAACTATTGCTTGAGTTGGGAACCCGCTGGAATTACTATTCGTTGTCGATGCAGCAACACCCCACTCTCCAAGGCATAATGACTTACTTGTGCCTCTCCGCGGCTCAACTGATCCTTGAGGGTGCGAAGTTTGGAGTCAGCGGCTACCTTTCACTCTATGATCACCATGTCTAAAAATTGGGGTCCCGAGATGGCCAGGAGCTCCCCTCCTTGTGCCCATCCACCCTGACGAGACAATGCATCAGCCACTACATTCTTTCTTCCTACTCGGTAGTGTATGTCAAACTCAAACCCCATCAACTTCACTAGCCACTTTTGTTGTGCCGGAGTACTAATTCGTTGTTCCAAAAGGAAACGAAGAGACTTTTGATCGGTGCACACCACAAACTTCCCGCCAAGAAGGTAAGCTCTCCATTCCTGGATGGCCAGAACCAGGGCCATAAGTTCCTTTTCGTAAACCGATTTGGCCATTGTTCTAGGCGACAACCCCTTGCTAAAGGAAGTCGCCGGTCGCCCTTGCTGTAATAGGATTGCCCCTAACCCTGCCCCTGATGCATCCGTCTCCACCACGAATGTGTCCTTGAAATCGAGTAATGCAAGGATTGGGGTCTCCGTCATCCGCTGTTTGAGTTCCTGAAATGCCCGATGCGCCTCCTCCGACCAAGTGAACTCCCATTTCTTTAACAACTCAGTCAAGGGCCGCATTATGGCGCCGTAATTCTTAACAAAATGACGGTAGTATCCCGTCAAACCCAGGAAGCCTCGTACCCCTTTTACTGTGGTTGGGATTGGCCACTCAACCATAACCCGTATCTTCCCCGGATTTGCCGCCACACCCTCCTGTGATATGCGATGCCCTAAGTATTCCACGGAATCCTGGAAAAACAAACATTTTTGTAGGTTGAGCACAAAACTCCCTTCCTTCAACAGCCCCAACACGGTGCGTAGATGACCAAAATGCTATTGTGAGCTGTGGCTATAAACTAGTATGTCATCCAGGAAAACCAAAAAAAATTTCCAGAGCAGGGTTTGAACAACTCGGTCATCATCGCCTGGAAGGTAGCCGGAGCGTTAAATCAAGCTTCGAAAAGCAAGAAGCTTCGTGTAGCTCATCCAACAATTCCTCGATTATAGGAATTGGGAATTTGTCCAGCACTGTTAACTTGTTTAACTCCCGATAATCCACACAGAACCGTCAACTTCCGTCCTTCTTGCGAACCAATAACACCGGACTTGAATAGGGGATTTGGCTGGGTCTAATAATCCCTGCCACTGTCATGTCGGCTATTAAGCGCTCTATCTCATTCTTCTGCGCGTGGGGATAACGGTAAGGCCTGATATTCGGGGGTTTTGCTTCAGGATGTAGTATGATGGCATGATCCCCTGTTCTGGACGGTGGTAGTCCCAGTTTTCCCGAGAACACCAATCCATACTCCTTTTCCAACTCCTCCACATAAGTCTTAGTTGCCCCATCATTCCCGGTACTGGGTGAAGGAGTACTCTGCCACTGCACCAAATAACACTTTTCTCTCTTCTTTGCCATTTTAGCCACGGCGCTAACCGAGATAGGCTCTCGGGATAACGCCGTCACCCCAATCAACCGATGTACCTTCCTTTCCAACTCAAACTCTAACCACATCTATAAAAAATTCACCCTAAAGGTACCCAGCTGGCTGAGCCAACCAGCCCCCAAAACCACATCTACTCCCGGAATTTTAAACAGGTATAAATCCAACTCGAACTCCCACCCAGGCACTCCCAAACACACTCCATGGCATATGCTACCAATAGTCACGCAGTAACCATCGCCTACTTTTACTGCGTATTCTGGAATAGGGAACCCCGAAAACTCCAACTCATTAACCCTGTTCCAACTGATAAATGAAGAATTTGCCCCCATTATCGATTAGGATGGTTACCTTTTTCCCTGTATGTGACCGTACAGCTTCAAGGTATCGCCCCCATTGACTCCCGCTAAAGCTTACAACCTCAGGTCCGGTTGGAGGAGCAACAATCCTTCTTCTTCCTCAGAATCTATTCTGCCATGGCCTTCCTCTGGTGGTGTCGCCTTCTTTTCAAGCTCGTCGTCCTCTTTTGCCGCCGTTTCTAGCATCTTGAGCGTACCGGTCTTGCACCGGTGGCCGCCAACCCATGACTCTCCGCACCAGAAACACTCTCGGTTATCCTTCCGTCGTTGACGTTCCAGCTGTGCCGGGCTCAGACCACCACCACCCTCTCTCGATCCCGTTCCAGCAACCTTGTGGGTCTGCTCGTGTGAGGGACGCTGGTTGTTAATAGGGGCTGAACTCCACTTGTTGGGGGCCAAATGATTTGTCGTTTGGTGAGGTGAGCTAGAAGGAAAGGAAATATGTGGTTTACTTTTCCACGTGTTCCCTAGGCCTTCATTTTATGCTCTAGCTGTAGCGCCAATTTAATTGCCTCATGTAGACTCATAAGTTACCACATCCGGACATCATCTTGCAGATCTTGACTCAACCCATTCAAGAAAATTCCTAAGGTAGTAGCTCAGTCCATTCCTCGGATTCGGGCCGACAATTCCTGAAATTGTTCCCCATATTCCGCCACCGAGCCCAGTTGTCTCAGGCCCACTAATTGTTCTTGAACTGATCTGAATTCCTTAGGCCCAAAACGCTACCCGAAAGAGACTTTTAACTCATCCTAGTCCATGCTCGGTTCTTCTTCCATGACCCACTCGTAGTATTCCCAAGCTTTACCTACGAGAAAATCTGCCACCACGTGGACATGAGCGTTGGGTCGAACCATGTGGACTCGTCCACCCTTCTCTCACCGGCCACCCATCTCTATCAAAAGGTGGTAAATCCACATGAGGTGGACTCCCTCCCAATCGCCGTTGTTGAGGAACCAGATTGGGAGGTTCGCCACCAGCCCAAGGCGGTAATTCCTCTCCTAACCTGCGGCGGTCACCCCCAAACTCTTAGCGCTCAGGACTGCGCCTCCTCTCCTGATGGTAATGGCCTCCTGTCCAAGCTGTTGGTTACTCCCTTTCAGGTGTTGCCGCCTGATATCGCAGCGCGTCCGTTCGCATCGTGTAGTGCAGTCGTCTGGCCGTAGGGAAACCTGCGGACGCCAGATCCCACAGTTCACTCTGTCCTGCTACGGCGTTGGTCTCCTCTGCTCCGGAGGCAGGAGCGGTGGCCGCCTCCTTCCCTCGTTCCTTCGACGAGGAGTCTGGTAACTCGCGATTGAAATTCTCGAAGCTCTCCTTGACGAGGTTAGTCACCAACTGAGGTAAGCCCTTGAGACACTCCTCCAGACGATCCACCTGATGGTAACGGCCTCCCGTCCAGGCTGCTGGTTACTCCCTTTCAGGTGTTGCCGCCTGATATCGCAGCGCGTCCGTTCGCACCGTGTAGTGTAGTCGTCTGGTCGTAGGGAAACCTGCGGACACCAGATCCCACAGTTCACTCTGTCCTGCTACGGCGTTGGTCTCCTCTGCTCTGGAGGCAGGAGCGGTGGCCGCCTCCTTCCCTCGTTCCTTCGACGAGGAGTCTGGTAACTCGCGATTGAAATTCTCGAAGCTCTCTTTGACGAGGTTAGTCACCAACTGAGGTAAGCCCTTGAGACACTCCTCCAGACGATCCACCCTTGTCAACTTCTCTGCCAATTCGTCCAGCTTCTTCTCTAATTCCTCCACCCGATCGCCACAAGTAGCACCTTTCGTCATCCTCTGCTATCCCAGATCGTGGATGTCTCTGATACCAAAATGTTAGGCTCCCGTGTACCTGTAACACCAATCAACACACAACAGACACAAAGAACACCACAGCTAGACTACTGAAGGAATCTCAACCAAAGGATCCAATTCATTAATCGTCACTGGAACAACCACGAGCTCAGCTCGGCCAAGAATACAAAATAGTAAGAATAATTCTCTCAACGTGTCCCTTTCCTGCACAATACAATTCCTTAAAAACCCCCAATCTATTGTAACCTCCTTACTCTCTAGGCAATATTCTCTAGCCTAGCCTAACCGTCTATAAGCCAGCTCAGTAACCTTCTTCACGCACTCACATCCCTTCCCCAACCGAAAACGTTGCGAGCTCCTTTAGAGTACGTCCGTTCATATTTATTCTTCCTAAACTCGGGTGTAACATATTATTTGCTTCCTCTTCGTCTTTCTTTTTTTTTTTCGCCAAATTTACACTGAGGCACTAAAGTAATGCGGAAAAGATATCTTTGATCCAGATGAGTTAAATCAATGGTGACCTTATATGTGGCCACTTAATTTCAAATGTCATTTCCCAAAGACGCAACGCATTCATTTCTTTAGTTGTAGTTGTTTTGTTTTTACTTAGAATTTACTTTGGTTGAGTTTTTATTATGTTTGAAGTTCCCATTTGGGCCATATTGTCTCCCCAACTTTTCCGGGTCAATGTGAATGGCAAACTATCGCCAGCCTTTGTGAATCCCCCAAAAAGATTCGGGAAGAACTGTGGTAGAGGCATGTCTTCACGTGAGCAAATAAAAAAAAAAAAAAAAAAATTGAAAACCAAGTTCCTTTAAAAAAAAAAAAAAAAAAAAGCATTCTTGTTTAATGTTAATGATTTTTGTTTGAAGATTTCTAAACCCTGCTACGGTCGAAAAGTCAGCGAACGTACTCATGCGCATTTTTTAACAAATCTATGTGCTGTATGACTTTGGACTAATCTGCAACTTTGATATCGTCCAAAGTACTTGATCAAGAAAAGAAGCAAATTCTCTTGGCTTTGTCTTCATAATCAGGAGTGTTATACCAAATCTTTGGCGTTCCCTCTACATAAAAGGTTCAATTATTATATAGCAACATCGACAAAATCAATAAGACTTTCAAGATCATTACAGAATCACACGTATCTTTGAGTGGATTCTTCACAATTCAATTGCTTTAAGCCATAAACAAAAAAGACATCATGGGGTCTAAAAAAGTATCTACACAATTTCACTCGGATATGAGTTACTTTCCAAAGACTAAACGCATATTATTTACAATACTAATGAACATGTCAAAGAGAGAACAGATTTCCAATCTCAACCCCATGCAACAAATGAAAAAACAAAATATACACAAAAGAGCCTAAATCTAAAACCCAGAAAAAAAAAAAAGAATGAAAATAGAGTTAAAAAAAAGTCAACAAAATTCACCAACTTTTCTTATGCCCATGTTGTGGAGAAGACTTCTCTTTGGATCCTCCGGCGTGGCTAATCCTAGGAGAAGACGCTAACCCTTCGGCCACGATACTCCTATCACTCAATTTCTTGACATAATCTTTCTTCTTTGTCAACAATCTTGTTCTTCCCGAGCTCTCTTGCAACGTCGGAACAAGGTACCAACTAATAGAAGTGCACAGAATTGCAACCGATCGACCAAACACAGTCAACACCAACAAGATCAAGATCACAACAACCGGCAAGTAAAATGAAGGCCTCTTCCACATATCAAGCTTCATATTCCACGAGGAGCTCCACTTTAACATCTTCTTGTTATTCGATTTCGGTTTCGATTCTTTCTTGACTTCTGTCACAGCAATAGAGGTCTCAATAGGAAACTTGTCTTGAGATTCTGAGTCACTTGTTGCCTGCTTAATCTCTTTGACATCTTCATTCTTGATAGTACTACAACTTCTCTTGGGTTTCCTTTCCTTCTTCTTGTTGTCTTTGTTGGTGTTATTGTTGTCCTTCAACTTGACCACAATCGGGACTAAATCGTTGGAGTTCTTGTACACAAAGCCAACTAAAGATGTGTCTTGAGAGCCGGTTTCCGCGTAAATCTTTTGCCTCTTCTCTTCAAGATCAGCTAGAAGAGCAGAAAACTTGTCAAGCCCACGATTGGCATAAGGGTTCTTGTCCTTGTTGTTATGGCTCTTACAGAAGCCGGATTTTCTTGATCTTCTTGGTGTTGAACAAGGACTAGAACCTGCACTAGCACTCTTGGGTAGTTCATCCTCTAGATCTTCTAGCTGAAAATTTGAGACGCCACAGATCAGAAGTTTCGGCATATGGGAAATTTGGGTTTTGGCTTTTGGGAAGTTTTGATTTTTGATTAGCTTGATTTTTGGTTTGATTGAAAGAGAGAGAAATGGCTATATATACTAATTAATGTCGGAGGGGTCCTCTTGAAGACCAGATCCAAGCAAAAAATGGTCAATCAAAAGGTTTGAAAAAAATGATGTCCTGTAGAAGCTTCCCTCACATTGTTTTTGGTCTTGATTGACTTGCTTTGCTTGCGAAGGGGGAAATAATGCAATTCATTTTTCTTTTTCCCCTTGAGATGATATAGTACAAAGTTTTTCTATTTCTTCCAAACTATAATATAGTAGGAAGAAAAGTTTGCAGCCTTGAAATATTCAAATTATAATAATATTGTCTTCCAACCGTGTCTGTGGAGAAGGAATTTGAATGGGTCCAGTTTTGGAATTATGGACATTATCTTATTCATATATTATCAAAATACCAAATTTTATTTTCTATCAAAATTGGAAAACTCGGTTAAGGGAGAATTTGTCTTCTATAAGAGACAGTTATATATAGTAGGATAGCACAAGGTTAGTTGGCAGATGTAAAATCAAATGATTTTTTGGAAAGTTACAGAATGGAACATTGGGGACTATGAGGAGTACCTAATCAAGTGGAGAGTTGGCTCTGATTGACATTCTTTGAGCATTACCATCTGATTTTATTTGAAGGATTTATGGAAAATAATATCGTTAATGTTATGGCAGTTTCTTTGTTTTTTTTTTTTTTTTTGCCCGTCTCGTACATCCTAGAGAATCAGACTTCTTCTGATGCAGAGGAGAGATGGAGATAAAAGTATTACCTAGTGTGTTTAGGTCTAGTTGAAAATTGAGATTATTGAAGATGTTTTAGAAACAAATGATACTTAAAAAGAAAAAAAAATCAAATGACATTTAACTTGGCCTAATTATTCATCTGTCTAACATTTTATTCTTTTTGTGCATGTTAGGCTAAGTAACTATTATTTTTTATGTCTAATTATTGATCTGTATAACATTTTATATAATTTTTAAATTATTGTTACATATTTCTCAATAATTAAAAAAATATATTTACAAAAATAAAATTAATTCATTTGAACTTAAAAATATTAATGATTAGCATTAATTTTTTTTTTTCATATTTACATGGGCAACAATCAACAAAATTAAATGTGTGATTTACAATCTCATACCTTAATAATATATTTGTTGCTTATACTAAGTACATTTGACCTGATATAGGTGATTCTTGTAATCAGCTCATATATACCCAATCTCATCTATGGTTTTAGCTAGAGCATTATATATGTTTATTCTTTAAAAAAAAAAAAAAAAAAAAAAAAAAAAAAAAACGACACAACCACCAAACACCCCAGCCAAAAAGT